AATATTCTCATATATCAAATATAACCAAATTTTAATGCATAAATACCTCTCAAGAGCTTCCAATGGAACTTCTAACTTAATCAATATTTAGATCTGAAAAAAAAATTATCAGTTCATAAAAAAAAATTTAAAATAAATGGTAACTCACAACACAACATATAAATGTCTCACCTTAAATTTGCAAAATTTTCGTTACACTTGGATCTGAAAGAATGAAGCTCTGGAAATGAAAATATGAGGGTGAAATGAAAATGAGAATGAAGCTGGGAGAAGAAAGAAGGTGAAGAAACGAAGAAAGAAGGTGGAGTGAAACGTTGTGGGTGAGGTTTCTGATGTTGAAAATATATAATGTCAGTTGCGACGTGGGGAACACGTGGGAAGATACCCACGTGAACTCCACGTCGGAAAGATTAATAATTCCAACAAGTTGCGACGTGAAAACAACTTCGGAAGTTTGCGACGTGTAAAGTGGGTCGGAACATTCCCCAATATAAAATTATATTTGTTGCTCCACTACACGCCAAGGCAACGATTCATTCATGTAACCAATGTATCTGACAAATTAATGCAAAGCAGGTTTGCGACGTGAAAAGCATGTGGGTAATTTGTGACATGCTTCTCACGTGGGAAACAAAAGAACTTTTTTGAATTTAAAGTTCCCTTGTGATTTACACGTCACAACTGAATTTGTGAAAAATTCAAACTTCCCTCCATCTAAAAATTCCAAAATTTCGTTGAAAATTTTAGGGTAACAAAATTTATTAATTAAATAATTTAGTGACGTGGGAATCACTTGGCAACAAATTTTTTTTCCCACGTGATTACCACGTCACTAAATCACTAGGGAAAAACAACATTTTCTTGTAGTGTATAGCCCCAATATACAATCTCATTCTTTCTGGATTATGTAATGAAACCCTCTACTTATATCTTGTCATCGCCGAGGAGGCTGTCAACGCAGCGTTGATTCGCGAGACTCTCGAGAGATAGAAGCCGATATATTTCACGAGCAAATTCCTCCAAGGTCCCGAACTCAGATACCAGCAGATCAAAAAGGTCGCTTTGGCCCTCATCAACGCGATCAGGAGGTTATAATATTACTTCCTGGCCCACACGATCATGGTCAGAACCGACCAGCCCATGGTCGCTCAAACTCTCAGAATTTGATGTCCAATACGAGAGCAGAAAGGCCTTCAAGCCATAATTCTTGGCCGACTTCGTAGCAAAAATGACTTCTACAGAGTCCCCGACCCCAGAGGCGCACAAGTGGATCATCTTCGTCGACGACACCTTTAGCTAGACGAAAAGTGGAGCGGGCATCATCTTGAAAAACGAAGAGGGCATCCTGATAGAAGTCTCCCTCGCCTTGGCATCCCAACGTCGAACAACTAAGCCGAGTACGAGGCATTCCTCGCAGGACTCTGACTGGACAAAGACATTGGCGCGAAAGAGGTAAAGATCTTTACCGACTCCCAGCTTGTGGCCTCCCAGATACAGGGAGAGTACCAAGCCAAGAACGACATCCTCTCTGAGTACATCACCTTAGTAAAAGAAAAAAAGAAAAACTTCGATTCTGCGGAGGTACAACACGTTCCATGCAAACACAACACCAGGGCAGACATCTTGTCAAAACTAGCGAGCACGAAGAGAAAGAGCGGAAACAAATCCGTAATCCAGTAGGTTCTCTCTCGCCTCAGCATCAAGAAGGACACAGCGACAGTCGAGGTCAATGTTATTGCGACAGTAACTGCTGGATGACCCTTGTATACACCTACCTCAGCACAAGAACTAAATTCTTAAAGCAAATATAAAGCCATGTATCAATCAACAACTATATAAAGCCAGGTCCAAACGATGTTAATTTTGGTTTTATAAAAGAATTATGGGAAGATATTAAAGGTGACTTTATGAGGATGATGTATGATTTTCACTCAAACGGTCAGTTTGTAAAAGGAGAAAATTGTTCCTTCATGGTCAGTTTGTATGGTTTTCATATCCAAGACATTGTCTAACAAACTGAAAAAAAGTGATCAACTCTATCATTTCTGAGCCACAATCATCATTCATTTCAAATAGACAGATTATTAACGGGATTCTAGTCGCAAATGAAGTCATTGAAGAAGCTAAGAGAAAGAAGAAAAAGGTGATACTTTTTAAGGTGGATTTTGAAAAGGCGTACGACTCAGTAGATTGGAATTATGTAGGGTATGTGATGGAAAAAATGGGATCCCAAGAGAAATGGAGGAGTTGGATCGTAGTGTGTCTTTGCTCAACAACAGTTTCGGTGCTTGTTAACGGAGGCCCCATAAAAGAATTCAAGACGGGTAGAGGGCTTAGTCAAGGAGAACCTCTATCTCTGTTTTTATTCTTAATAATGGTTGAAGGATTTAATGTCATAAAGTTATAGAGAAGGGGAAGTTTATAGGATACAAGTTTGAGGAAGGTGATGATAGATTCACTCATTTGCAATGTGCAGATGACACTTTGATAATATGCGAAAAAGCATCAAGGCATTTTTTCTATTGTTCGAGTCAATGTCTGGACTAAAGGTAAATTTCCAAAAAAGCATGATTGTTGGGATTAATATTCCTCAATATTAGACAGTAGAGGCAACTAAAAGTATGAATTGTGGTATTGGAGTTACTCCATTCAATTATACGGGGTTACCAATTGGGGCAAATCCAAACTAAAAGGAAACTTGGGCTAAGGTGATTAGAACAATGAAAGAAAGGTTGTCTAAATGGAAGAACAAATATTTATCCATAGGAGGTCGGATTGTCATCTTAAAAGTGGTCTTATTCACGATCCGAGTATACTTTCTCTATTTTCAAACAATTTCTTTGGTGGATTGTGAGGAAGAGAGGAAAATAAATTGGATTAATTGGGGTAGAATGTGCAGACCAGTTGAAGAAGGGGGATTAGGAATTAGAAATCTGAGGATTTTCAACTTAACTTTACTAGGGAAATGAAAAAGGAAAGATATAGTGGAAAAAATGGCATTTGGTATGCATCCTTGGTAAACAAATATGGTGTGAACAGGCTGGAGTGGAATTCAGGAAGGATATAGTTCATATGAAAATAGGAGGGATAGAGAGTTAAAACTCATACTTATTGAAAGAAGTTTATAACGGATTAATGGCCGAAGAAAATATAGTTCTAGAACCATACTGACAGAAAATTTGGAACAAGACAATTCCGTCAAAAATCTCCAGCTTGGTGTAGAGAATATACCATAACAAGATCCCAACGAGAGACAATCTTGCCAAAAGATTTGTAATAATTCAAGCGGGGTAGATGTATAGGTGAATGTAGGAGGGAAGAGTCGGTTCCTCATCTCTTCTTTGAGAGTCCAGATTTTCCAGGCGTGTGGAGCTCCATTTACAAATGGATTGGAGTAGATTCGATTTTTCATAACATTGGATGACATCACTTGGAACAATTCAAAAAACTGCTTGGGGAAAGGATCCCCATATCGAAGAAAGTAATTATGATTTGGTTCACTTGCGTATGGTGTATTTGGAAGTCTAGGAATGGCAAAATATTTCGAAATGAGGACATTCGAGTTGAGAAGATTGTAGAAGACGTTACAGTGATATCTTGGAAGTGGTTATAATTGAAAGCAAAAATGATTGAGTGTGATATCGGGAAATTAATGGTTCTTAGATTCCAAAGCCTATCTAGGATCGGTGGCTGAGTGAGACCCTGACGGGGGATGTCCTCTGATTTTATTTCTAGGTCGGTTGGTAGTTTAGTTTCTTTTGAGCTGTTTGGTCGGGAAGTTCATTTTTGGTGCGTTTTTTGGAAAGCGTAGAGGGGCTTTCTGTCTACTTCTCCAAGGTGTTCGGTATAGAGTATCTTCCTTGTTCATTGGCGAATCCATTTTAGTAATAAGCTGTTTGTCTTTTAGGGCAAGTTTTGTTTCCTGCATTCTTGCCATTATTTTGCTTGTTTTTTGCTTGTTGGATGTGTTGCAGATCTCAGACTTTGGAGTGTTGGAGGTTTCTAGTGTGTCAGTTTGCGAGAAGGCTTGCCTCAGCGGCAACTTGTTTCTTCGCAAATGGTTTGCAGCATGTTGTCATTGTGTCAACTCTTAGCTTGCGTTTAAATTTGGATCTTGATAGTTTGGAGAATAATTCTCAGTGTTTAGGGAAAAACTCTTGGTTCAACTATCTGAAAATCTGGAGGTCATCTTTTGTTTTAGAGTTGCAATTGGGGCATCATCTGATAATTAAAGAGTTTGTATTTCGAAATGAATAGTGTAGTTTGTTTTCTAACTAAAATTAAATTTTCTCAATATAGAATTTTTTTTTTCTTTAGTGTCTTTTTGCAATGTGCAATTTGGTTGGGATGTATCTAAGTTCAATATTTTGGTGTGTTAGAGATTTAATCTTATTTAAATTGGGTGTTTTGTTTTGGCTTGTGGATGCTTGCCTTAGGGTCGCTTGGGTTGTAGCTAAGGTGTTTTCAGTAATGCGAGGTGCTGTATTTTTGCATCAAATCCTGTTACATTCTGTGTTTGTTCCTAGGCATTACTTATGCATTTTATTTAGTAAATTTTGCTGTTTAAAAAAAAACACATAATAGAAAGAAGAAAAATTAGTATGTAGATCAATTAAAACCGAATTCTAGTTAACTTTAGGTACCAGCTGTACTTTATCAAAAGCACATAGTAGACCACCTGTTCCGTTATAAATAGTGTGGGGATTATTTGAAATGTGTCTGCATGAGATAGCACGTAGACATATATATATAGGACGGTCAATAAATTCTACTCTTCATAGGCTTTGATTTTAGTTCTCAAATGATTATGAAAAAGACCAATAAAACAACTATTTTCTTCCCAATTTTAACACATACGAGCTACTTTTCCAACTAGCAAGTAAAGCTTACGTGTTGATCCATAATTTCCTCCACTATATATAGCACACAATTTCTTACTAGATTTGTCATCGTTTACTAACACATTTTCCAATTGATACAATACGTCTAGTTTAAAAGAAATGGATTTGAAAAATGCTATATTTCTCAACCTAGGCCTCTTGGCTATGATTCTTCTTATCTCCTCAGAGGTGTCAGCGAGGGACTTAACTGAGAAGGGTGAGCTATCTATTATTTTTCTTAATCAGCTATTATATTATCTCATTTAACCCTCTTGATAATTAATTGTTTAAGTTATATATTTTCTTATATAAGATTTTTAACATATCTCCTCACACTCACACTCAGAAATGTATCTATGAAATGTGCAAATTAAAGTCGGGTAATTTAATTGTAAAAATCTATTAACAGATAACTCATTGAGTCTTAAACGAGACTTTTAATATCATATTAAAAAAATATCAGTCGAGTCTAACTCATTATTATAGAATAGGCTTGCTGGATAAAATAACCTTCATTTATAACTCATTAATATATATATATATATATATATATATATATATATATATATATATATATATATATATATATATATATATATATATATATATATTTTGTTTGTTGTAAGATTCTTTATACTCTACAATGTTATTTTTCAAATACATTATGTGTAGGTTTGGTTGATGAAAAGACATTTAATAATGGCATCTTTGGTCATGGAGGCTACTATGGTAATGGTTATCCAGGTTATGGTGGTTATCCGCGTAATAGTGGTGGATATAACAGTGGTTATGGTGGTGGCTATCCGGGTAATTATGGTGGCTATAATGGTCGCTTTGGTAGTGGTTATCCAGGTATTGATGGTGGTTACAATGATGGTATAGGTGGATATGGTGGTGAAGATGTAGATGGGCAAACTAAAGACGATACACATAATTGATAGTCATATCATCTCATACATGAAATTTTTAGTAATAAACTTCATCGATGAATAACTTATGTACATAGCATACCATAAAAGGTACAGATAGACAACAATCTTTATTGTTATTATCTATCTTGCCATATATAGTATAAAGATGTCACTAGTAGAAATCTTATATAAATAAATCATTGCTATGCGATGATGAGTTGATTTTTAAAATACAGTAATGAATGTAATATCATGTATTTATGGTCTTTAATGAGGTTGTTTAAAAAAGTTCTATCTACTATCAAAATATTACTCTCTCTTAACATAAATTTATTCGTAACATTTTACCACCAATATATATATATATATATATATATATATATATATATATATATATATATATATATATATATATATATATATATATATATATATATATATATATATATATATATATATATATATATATATATATATATATATATATATATATATATATATATATATATATATATATATATATATATTTTGCTACAAATTTTTAATAGATTTATTTTTAAAATATATTGACTCAAATAAAAATCTCTCAACTCCCAGAATTGTTTTAATAGACGATAATTTTTTTTTACTCATTTTCTTTACCTCCTGTTTAGTGTTCATAGTTTAAATGGTTTCTTCAATATTAATTAAGTATTTTTTTACGGGTGAATTCATATATAACTAATATTAAAGTTAAAATTTTTATTTTAATCAATATATTCTTTTAAATTTCTCATTAACATTTGTAAAGTATTTTTTTTTTTTGTTTATTTTAGGTTGTGCTATAAAAAAATGTTTTTATTAGTTTAGCAGAAATTGCTGAAAGATTTTTATTTATTTTAAATATTTAATTTTGAAAAATATTTTGATTAGTTTATATAAATATTTTATATATTTTATATATAAAATCTAATTTTAAAGAGTGTTCACAATTATAAAATATTAAATACTTTTTTAATATGAGAACTCAAATAAAATAATTGTAATTTCTATGAATTTTGAGTATAACTTATAATTGTATTTATGAATTTTATAAATATTTTTTAGTTAAAATATATTGATGATTTTCTAGCCTCCACCAAAGAAAATATTTGGATTCGCCAAATCTCATGGATAAGAAAATTTAAAATAATAGATAAGAAAAATTAAATACTAATAGTTGAATTTGTTGTCTATGCACGTGAATTCATCACGACTATTTACCAAATTTAGTGGTTAGTATTTAATTCTCTTATATTTTATTTAAAAAACTTTTTATTCAAATAATCAATTTTTTCAATTTAATTTCTCAAATGACTCATGTTTTAAAATATTTCGCAAAATACCCCAATTTTAGAATATAATTAAGTGTTCTTGCAAATTGAATTCGTCACTTATTACTTGATGGGTATTAAAATCGATCAATAAAGTTAAATACACATGAGTTCGAACTTCATTAGCAGCATTTTTATTATTTTCAATATTAGTGTGTCTTTCATTTTGGTTTATCTAAAAAACTGAGGGATAAATTATTTCTTTTTATTTTATTTTAAATATTTGTTTTTCCAGAATATTATATTGTTTAAACAAAATATTAAAATAAAAATCAAATTCTGTAGGGATATATAAAAAAAATCAAATTCCTCGATGATCTACATTTTAGAATTTCGAATTATTGAATCTTGCGGAAGATCAAATATTGAGTGCAAGATTATTCTTTACGGATCTTGCATGCATTTAATTTTGAAGCAAACAAAATAAGGGTTAGGTAAATAAAATGAATATTCAAATATATGATTTTGTGTTCAAACAAATATTTAAGAAAACAAACCTTAAATTCATGTAATTTTTTACTCTTACAATCCATCTTAGAGAACTTTTCCAAACGTATTTATGTTTCCAGCACTTCATGTTTCATTTAGGTTAGATTTTCAATATTCAGCATTCTTTTATAACGAATGTCCTTTAAGTTTCACGTGAATCACTAATGGCAGATTCATGAACGCTGATAAACATTAAATGGAAGGCAAAATTTTGTTTAAGGGCGTTGAGTATAGTAAAAAAAACATTTAACTACCCCCTCGGCCAAGAAGAAAATCGAGGTGAATAAGTTGTTATTTTTTAAATACATTGTTTACACATAATACTAAAAAATACATTAACTGAGCATTTCTCAAAGGTTAAGCTCCCTTAATTGTTGGTTAAGCTTCATTATTTGATTAACTTAAAGCAAGAATGATTTTCTACACTTGTAATTTATCAACTGAGTACTCTTCTTTAACTGAGGGTTATTCCAAAAAAATACAACAACGACAACATCAATACTATTATGTGAGATAGATTGCAAGGGCAGAAAAAAATATTTTGCTCAAGATAGAGAAACATTAAAGATTTTTTCTGTCTTGCAATTCATCCAAAACAATGATGTTTGGGGGCGACTTCATATTAGTAAGGATTATGGTAAAATCTATTTAACGGATACTTTTATAGTGAAAACTTATTATTTTGTGCCTCGATTAAAAAGAAAATTGATGGGTTAGAACATTTTATTTACACATATAAACAACTAGAATCATAAATTGCGATACCTGGGAATCGATGCTTGTACTGATATGTTTTTTCACAAAACCAATGAAATGTTTTTTAAATAATAAAAATAACGCGCTTTAGCTTTACATCTCAAATTTCTATTGTTCGAAGTGAAAAATTCGTCATGAAATGTGTTATTTATTGTAATGACTCTTTCCATTCTCTTTTATATGTAAATTTTAGGTTTTAGATTTATGAAATACTTAATACATTTAGTCTATATATAGTTCAAATATATTATTTATTCAATAAATTTTAAATAAATTAAAATTTATTTATAAAAGAAAATAGATAATATATATATATATATATATATATATATATATATATATATATATATATATATATATATATATATATATATATATATATATATATATATATATATATATATATATATATATATATATATATATATATATATATATATATATATATATATATATATATATATATATATATATATATATATATATATATATATATATATATATATATATATACACACTCAAGCTTAATAAATTATCAGTTCTGACACATATAACATTCATCCACATGCTCATAGAAAGAGAATGAGTACACAAGAGTCTTACTAATGAGCCACTTTTTGGAAGAGAAGATGGTTATATCTTTGAATTCTTCCTTTTTCATATTCTTTCTTGAGGAAATAGAATATTTTGGAATTTCCAAATGTTTTAAACAATAAAATGCAAAATAAAGGACAAAGTACTCCAAAAAAAAAGAAAAGAGAGAATCTCAAATAATGAAGTCACCCATATAAGTAACACCACTTCCCACCATAGAATTTTATAAATCTTATGCCACCAGCACAATGTCATGTCACAAGTAACAATGCAATGACGACGAGTAAACTCTAAGGAATCATGGTATGACATATCCACAATTCCACCTTAGGTAAGAGCGCATGGTTGGGGATGACAATTTTATTCATATCTAGTGGATATTCACATAAAATCCTTACAACAAATAGAGTAAAAATCCACAAAATAGACACGAGTAATAACTCATTAATATAAGCAAATATAGGTGTTGGTACATGTGTCTTAGTACCCACTTCGTTCTATACTCGCACAATACATATTTATATATTATCGTTTATATTTTTATATAAAAATAATTTTTTTTAAATTATTACAGATTTTAATATAAGAGTTTGTTCATTTCATAATTCAACAAAGAATTCTTTCAATGTTGTTAAAACATTAAAATGATATGAAATTTTATAAATGATCTATTTATTTTCACTAGAAACACGTGTAACAGGTGCAAGTATAAGTACTTATTTGCCCATAAGGTACGAGTCTGGGTTTAAACGTTTATGCCCACATGGGTATGGGCTCAGGTACATAGATTTTTTCAAAATGTAGATATGAGGACGAGTACTATAGTACCCTGTCAAAACACTATCCATTGTCATCCTTATACGTGGTATAAAAAAATCACATTTGCTATTGACAAAGGGAAAAATTAGAAAAAGTGTGTTATAAAGCTCCCCAACCTTTTAAAAGATTGAGTCTACAATTGGCATATAAGTTAATCTGATACGAACCATCATGTCCATGACACGATTGCCAAGAACCCAACTTTATGCATAGTTAGTGTTGCATCATAAAAATTTGAGCGTTGCTTGAAAAACAATGAAGTCTCTATCAAAGTTTATATGAAAAGGGAAAATGTGATAAAACTCTTAAAGAAAAAATATGGTCATCACAACCAAATTCAGGTTCTTGAATCGATTATGCATAAGGAAGGTACGTATTACAACCCTATGACATCTGTTTAAGTAAACGATTACCTCTAATTAATTTTGCAAAATAATTGTGTTAACCTTATTATCTCGAATTTCTCCTAATCATTAAATACAAAATAAAGCATACTTACAAGCAAAAGGAAAAAAATTATTATTAATGAAAAATGTTTTGAACACGTTAGAGCAGAAAAATGTTGTTCGTTGGTTGCGTTAGTGTGGATTAAAATGTTGCTTGTTGGTTGGTTGTGATTGTTTTTAGGAGGAAGACACGGTCTAGAATGAACAAGTGGTACAACTTGTGTCCGAACACTTGGGGATAAAAGGGATGTTCATCTAATTAGTCATTTTTTAATCCAGATCTTATTTGTTAAAAATAAAATATTCAAATCGAATTAAGTTGTAATCTCTTAAAGGAAGTCAAGCATATGAACAGACAAGCAGTACGATGTTGGAACAAAATTTGTTTGTCTCATATCCCTTATGTTTTGATGATAACAACATATTTAAAGAGCAATTGGGTATACAGATATTTTTCAAGTGTGCAGGATCATAAACTAAAATTTCATCTATAATACAAGTATTGGTTCTGACTATGAACATCTAAGGAGAAGCTTAAATACCAGAATTTGATAGATCAGAAGCTGAAGAC